TAAAGGATTTGGATACAACAATTCTAAAGTGCTTGAGGACAAAATTTTGGGGTCCTAACTGGGGCCAGCTGCCCAGGGAATTATGTAGTCCAAAGCACTGTGGAACATACATGTCTTTAATGTTTGTAAAGTGTCTTCAAGTGTTCAAAATGTTTCACACCTACCATTTAATAGAGGGGCACATGCCTGCAATAATAGAGATTTCAGTAAAACTACATCACAGATTAAATCAGCCCACAGTTGGTGGCTTGCCAACTGATACAACCATGTGGGTTGTTTCAATATCAACATAACTTTTAAATGTCCCTTGCTTCCATCTGGTCTCCTTTTCCCTTCCTCCCAACATGGAAAGGCTCCAAGCGGCAGCTTCCCTGATTAAAGCTGATATCTAGGGAGTTTATGCGAGTGACAGCAGTTTTGTGCTAGATCCTCAGCACACCTGCCTCGCTGGCACCAGTTGAAACATAGCACCAGGCTGCTTGGCTTTTTTTTCTTTAAGGATTTATGGGAGGCTTTGGAAACATATCTGGGTGGCTAAATGTCATACGTGACCTGATGCTTTGTGGCAAACTTAGAAGGGTCCAAGAGTTTTCAAACAACATCAGTTCTTTTAAAAGTGCTTTGCCTTCAGACCCAGGATGGTCACAAGCAACATACAAAGTTCAGACGTCTGTGGCCTATTATGTTTTCTTCTTTTTCGATGCTAACAACAAGTTGATGTTAGACCAAGAGATGCATACGAACTCCCCATCCCAATGTAGGTAATGTCCAATTGCACCCTCATAAATTACTTTTTCGGGTTCTCCTTCAAGCCCATGTCAAAATAACTTTCCTATGTGATATGTACTATGCCCCAGGACACAGAACATGCAAATCATGTGGGCTTGCCCACAAGCAGAATAAAAAAAAACAAGAAACAATGCACATATGTGCATATTTTACTTTGTTACATGAAGGAGGGGGGAAATAATTCCTAGCATAAGATAATGGAGAAATCTGGATCAGCCACATATTTGTTGCCCAAGGCAAAGCACAAGATGATGGCTCTACTTCTGATCCTTGTAAAGAAACCAATTAGGTTGGCAATTTAATTTTATTTCAGCACTGACATCAGGATGAAGTTTACCATAATTTCTGAAAACAGCAAGCTAGTACTCAAACCTTTTCAACCACGGAGCCCTATTTGAAGCAAAAGTTTATCATGGAGCTTCAAGAATTTTTTTATATATTATTATATATTATATTACATATAATGTATATATATATCAGAAATAATAATAATAATAGTAATAATAATAATAATATACTTTATTTATATTCCGCTCTCCAGGAGCCATCCAGTCCAGCCCCCTTCTGCCATGCAGGAAACACACAAACAAAGGACCCACATCATATGGCTATTTAGCCTTCATAATAATAATAATAATGGTAGTGAATCAATTTGGAACAGAAAATTAAAATATACATATGCGATGGATTTCAAGAAGAACTGGCTTAAGACGTTTCATCGCTGGTACATCACACTGAGGAAACTAAGCTTAATGTATAAAAACACAAAAATATTGTTGAAAATGTGAAGAACAAGAGGGTTGTTTCTTCCATATGTGGTGGACTTGCAAAGAAAAAAAAGTTGGGAAAAGTTCCATGCAGCAAGCCAACAGATTTTGAAGTTCAAATTCCCTGTGAAGCTGGAATTTTATTTACTAGATATAACTGACTCAGACATCCCATTGGACTCCAACGATGATATTTTGTTTACATATTTGACCACAGCAGCCAGAATTTGCTATGCAAGGCTGTGGAAGCAAAAAAGCAATACCAGAGATAGATGAATGGTTTCAAAAAGTGAGAGAAATTAAAGACATGGATAAACTAACTTTTTTGCTAAAGAAAAACTCAGGGAATCTGATAAAATACACAGATAGGTCCAAGATAGAGGAATATGAAAAAAGAGAGAAGGAAATCAGACTCATTAAAAGGCATTAGTATGTAAGGGAAAAACAAAAAGAGCCAATTTATTGTATGTCACGAAGGCCCACTGTGACTATTAATTATGTAGGTAAAAACAAAGGTAAAGCCGGAAAGGACTAGATGGAGGTCACCAATTTTAATTTTAATTTTATTTTATTATATATATTTTAACACATCTTTTTCTTCTTTTTCTCTTTTTCTTTTTCTTCTCCATTTTTCTCTCTAAATATAGGTTTTCCTACTTTTCTATTATTTCATTGTTCTCCCACTTTACTTGTATGAGAAAAAAATCCTTTTCTTCCCTTTGTGCTCCCAAGAGTCCCCACCCTTGGCTCCCTTCCTATATTCTTAATAAAAATAGTGTTTAATAATAATAATAATAATAATAATAATAATAATAATAATAATGGTAGTGGTAGTAGCTGAAACCCTGGGGGCCATCCAGTTCAACTCCCTTCTGCCATGTAGGAAAAGCACAACCAAAACACCCCCAACAGATGGCCACACAGCCTTGTAATAATAATAATAATAATAATAATAATAATAATAATAATAATAGAAGCAACCCAGGTGACATCCAGTTTAATTCCCTTCTGCAATGCAGTAAAAGCACAATCAAAGCAATCCCAACAGATGGCCACCCAGTCTTTGTAATAAATAATAGTAAACCCAGGGGCCATCCAGTTCAACTCCCTTCGGCCATGCAGGAGAAGCATAATGAAAGCATTCCCTGAGCAGTGGGAAGGCAATAGGGTTTTGGAAGTAAGGAAAGTGAGAGGAACAGGTTTTTGGGGACAAGGGAGATGGGAGGAGGAGCAGCAGGAAAGAGTAGGGAAAGCTTGGAGGGGGAAAATGGAGGAGGAGGGGGGGAAGGAAACCATGGAGCCCCTCAGTATGCTTCAAGGACCCCCCCCCCAAGAGCTCCCATGGAGCATACTTTCTGAGAACTACTGGTATAGAATAAGCAGAAAGATTGGGGGGTCAGGATCAACAGCTGAATCTGCCACTGTTACACCTACCGAAGACTTCCCAAGGAAGCTGAAGCATTCTATCTACTGGCAGGGCTAACTGCTGCATTGCTTTTAAATGCATTTTTTTTTTTACATTTTACATTTATATTTTTAACTAAATGCTTTAAATGTTCGTATTGTAAACATCATTAGGGTAAGAGTAAAGCAAAGGTGGAATCAGGAAGACAGAATGTGGAGTAAAACAGGGAGTTTTATAACTTCTGTTCAAAACATCCACATTTAGGAGATACAGCAAATTCCTTTAATTGTTACTTCACAGTTGATAAGCTGGGAAGCAGCAATTAATTTTGGTCCTGCTTTAAAAGTCCCTCTCCAGTCATTTCAAAGATAGGTAATATAACAAGTCCAATAAAGGCCTTGCATGTATGCATCACACTAATTAACAAATGTGTGAGCAAATGGCAAATGTGTGGAATCCTAAGACCCGTAAGCCATGCTGCTGGTAGGGAGGCCCATTTTTTGCATGACAGGATCTGATGACTTTGGGTTATCCAAACAAAAAAGCAATGCTAAAAAAATATCAAGATGATACACACACACACACACACACACGTGTGTGTGTGTGTTTTTAATTAAAGCATTATCTGATTTCTTTCTTATATTATGGTCACATTTTGAATATATGATGTTTTTCTTTGAAATATTTGTTTAACTGTATGAGTGCAGTGTACTAGCATGAGGATGTTGTATTCTATCTCTGATGATCAAAAGAGAGGAAGCAATAATTTCCCCCAAAGTCTGTCTTGTTTTACCTTTATATCAATACAGTATTGCATAGATTAGGTTCAAGTGTAGGCTATTGTTTCACTGAAAAGAAACAACATGCCACCTTTGTGTATCCTTTGCCTGAGAAAATCTTATGAAAGCAGTGGCTTCACATTGATAAAGATATCATGTCAAGGAATATACCCACACATGGATGCAAACACAATATTTTGTTTTGTTTCTCCATGAGCTAGCTGAGAGACAATAGCCCATCTTGCATATAAGCAGAAGCAAACCACTGGTCCTATCCTCTATTTCCTCTATTATTTCTTCTTTGACCATTATGATTTGTCGGTAAAGATCTCCTGCCACCTTCTTCTCCTCTCTCAAACATTTTCTAATCACCTTCTCAAGTGGACTATCCTGTTCTCTATTTTATTCCCTCTATCTAAAACTTTCTTGTCTGATAGCCCAGCTTTGAATCCAATTCCCTGATCCTATCCGATTCTGAATTTCTTTTTATTCCACTGGGTTTCCATCCACTGTATATAAGTCCTCCACTAACCTTTTCCATTTACTTTCAATTAATCTCAACGTTCTGCCTATAATTTCATTATTATTATAATTAACTTGCCATATAGTTGCCATTTTATTCTCATTGCCTGGATTTAACTTCTTTCCCCCCACACTTTTATTGTTCCTTTAAAGGGTTCCTTAAACTCTGTTTCCTCTCTCCTCTTCCATTCCCTAAATATTATTTCTTTTCCTTTAGTATTATTTATTTTTTTCTCCATATTTATGCATTTTACCCCGTATACTGTATTTTCAACAATCTTTGGATTTGAAACGCATCGTGATAAACTTCTAAACTTGGAATCCCCAGCCTTCTCCTTCCTCTTTTGCATTTGTCTCTTATTCTGGGTCTTTTCCTCCGACTGCCCATTTTCTTATTCTTCTGTCCCACATCTTTAGCGTCTTCTTCTCTACTGTGTTTGGTAATGTTAGGAATAAATATAAAATGTTTGGTATTATAAACATTTTAATGCCCTTATTCTATCCACTCTTGTTAATATTTTCCCTTCTCAATTCTTAAGTTGTTTATTACTTTCTTGACCATTTTCTCATTTATTTCCTAAGGAAATACAAGATTCACACTTTAGGGAAAGTAATTATGGAAGAAGCCATGTCTAACCCTTTCCCTCTGTAATTATTTCAGATCAAATCAGAATTTCACTAGCCAAACAATCAGATATGATGAAAATACAAAGCTCTGAAACACACAAAATGACTTACACTGAACATCTACTCGAATGGATCGGATGGCAGGAACTCCAACCCCGTTCTCTGCTTTACAGTAATAGCGCCCCCCCTGAAGCCTCTGGATCTTCTCAATTCGAAGGGTCTCATTAAACACTGATGTCTCTTGGAATTTATCTGATGCGCTGCCGGCAGTTTTGGTCCACCTCACCTGGAAGAAGAGAATGGAAATAAAAAGTCAGAGAAGAAGAAAAGGAGAAGGAATACAGACAAATTTAAAGCTGGGGCATAGGTTGAGATGGCAAACCACTACATGATTTCATTTCCAATTTCTCAAAGTTTAGCAAATGTCCTGACTTTTTAAAAAGCTGGCCCGTTTTTTTTTCCAGATCTTTCCTCGCCTGTCCACCAATGCTCTGTAGAAGTTTCTAGAAGTTCCATTTTTTTTGTTAAGGGGCAGTTACTCTTATTTGAACTAGCCACTGGTGCATCACCAAAAAGTTGAGTTAGACTGACGGATAAGAAAAGGGACATCGAACATGAGAAGTCTTGTAACATTTCTTTGTAACTGATGGCAAATTGATTGGATTAGCTGGGGCTGAAACAACAAATGAAGCTAACAGAGCAGGAGGTACTAAGGAAAGCTAGCTGGAAGCCATAAAGCTTGGAGTGTTGTTTTTAAAGAAATAAATCAATAACTGTATATGTGGAGCAATTTGTTGTAGGCACCCTTTTCTCATTATTTCAACAGCAATATGTGACTTTCAAAATTATGTGCTTTATAACATTACTAGCTTGGGGCCCCTGCAATGCCTGGGCTACTTGAGAAAGGCATAGTTTGTTTTGGGAAGTTTGGTAATATCAATGGATGCAGAGTGAACTACAACTCCCATGCAAGGAGATCACCCCCCCCCCCCCCGCCCCAACACTCCCAGTATGTTATGTTGGCCCAGGTTATTTGAACAAGGAACTGTTTGTTTTGGAGTGTTAGGTAATATCAGTTTGCTAATTTGTAGCTCTATTTCTTAGAAAAAAGCCAGTCTTTCCTGTTGTTTTTAATGAATGCTCCCATTAGAAAATGCATAAGGATGTGGGTGAACTGCAATTTCCAAAATCGTGGGCTAATCACCCCAAACCCCACCAGTATTCAAAGATGACCATATTGGGTCTTTGTGCCAGGTTGTGTGATCAGTGCTCTCTGGATAAGGGTGAATTACAACTCCCAGAGCAGTGGTCATTAACCCCCAAAACCCACCTGTATGCACAGTTAGCCATGTTGGATCTGTGTGCCAGGTTTGGTACAGATTCATAGTTGCCTGGGTTCAGTGATCTTTGGATAAGGGTGAACTACAACGCCCAGAGCCAAGGACCTCCAAACCAGACCTGTATGCACAGTTGGCCATGTTGGGTCTATGTGTTAAGTTTGGTCCAGATGTGACGTCGGCTGGGTTCAGGGCTCTCTGGATAAGGGTGAACTACAATTCCCAGAGCCAAGGTCATTCACCCCCAAACCCTGCCTGTATGCACAGTTGGACAAGTTGGGCCTGTGTGCCAAGTTTGGTGCAAATCCGATGTTGGTTGGGTTCGGTGCTTTCTGGATAAGGGTAAACTAAAACTCCCAACATCAAGGTCCATTCCCCCAAACCCCTGCAGTATGTTCAGTTGGCTAGTGGGCTTCTCTGTGCCAAGTTTTGTCCTCCTGCCAATCAGCCAAAGCGATACTGAATGAGACAGACATGATCTGATTCAGTATAAAGTGGATTCCTAGTGTTACATGTGTCTTTCACGTAAACCATAACCATGTCCCTAATTCTGGAAACACTGTCTTGCTTTCTTGACAAGATTACGGTCTTTAAGTTGTGTTATGACATGGTTATAGTTGGTGAGAAACTAGTTTTCTCACATTTTAAAAGCTTCCTGGTCATGAACATGCTGCTCATATTGGTACATAAACCAGACAAAAACAAGAGGAAATGTAAATATATCTCCTGAGAGAGAGGAGTGGAAATATTCATGTATAAAACACCAAGCTATCTTCATGGAAAAGGTAAAGGTAAAGGTTTTCTCCTAACATTAAGTCCAGTCATGTCTGACTTTGGTGGTTGGTGCTCAACTCCATTTCTAAGCCAAAGAGCTGGCATTGTCCGTAAACACCTCCATGGTCATTTGGCCGGCATGAGTGCATAGAGCACCGTGACCTTTCCGCTGGAGCAGTACCTATTGATCTATTCACATTTGCATGTTTTCAAACTGCTAGATTAGCAGAAGATGGGGCTAAGCTGGGGATCTTACCCCACTCCTCAGATTCAAACATGCGACCTTTCAGTCAGCAAGTGCAGCAGCTCAGCGGTTAAACCCACCGAACCACCGGGGGCTATGAATTCAAATTTAACAAGAGTTTTGCCACCATAAAGTCTCCAAAGGAACAGAATCCATTGCTGCCAGAACTTCCATTCAATTCAGAGCAGCTGTGGAAAGATTAGCAAAATAAACAACAGTGGAGTCTTTGCCCCTGTGGTCACCCCAACACATTACAACTCTGTGCAGAGGGGTAAGGGAAATATCTGCCTTCAACTATCAAATTTTCCTTCCTGACCTGATAAGCAGGTCACAGTTACCCCCGCCTTTTCAGATCATGAACCAGAAGTTATATAATTTTTAATAGCCAGACAAACTACACAGCACAAGGCGAGGAAGTTAGCATTATTATGACCCTACTATCTCACCATCTTTTTAAAAATCCTACTCCAGCCTACAGGCCTATTTATACACTAGGGACTTGGGTCTGCAGTTAGGAGACAATGGGGTCCCACATAGCCGTCACTCTGTGCTCCCTTACTGTTCAGAGGTCTTCAGCTAATGGCTGCCCATAAGGGATTTACTTAGCCTTTGTCCTATCATTAGAAGCCTGTAGCCTCTCTGAGTGCATTCTCTTTGCATCACTGCTTTCGTCGGTACTTTAATCTTTCCTCCGCTTTTTTCATTTCAGACTCATTTATTAAGTTTGACCACATCTTGGAACCTTTATGACTAAGAGGAGAGAAGGCAACGTATTAAACAAAGGCTAAAAGATAAAGCTTTCATTGGGAAAAGGGTAGGATGATAACAGAGATCATATATGGGGATCAGAGTCATAGCCCCATTCCCAGTGTGTTAATCAATGTGTTAATTCATTTCAATAAGCCCAACTTTTAAAACTGCATATTCACTGTATTGAAGGAATACAAGAAAGCAACTGACAGAAGGGAGAATTCAAGCAAGAGCACAGGAGCCAAGAAATTGTGGGATGAAAACTCACAATGTATCCCAATGATAATGGCATAATCACTACTATTTTACCTATGTGCACAGATTCTTTATCTCTATGTGAAGCATTTTTCACTCATCACATTCTATGTATGTTGAGACCTCTGCTGAACCCTCCATTTGTATTGCTTGAGTTTAAAAGCAATCAGTTATGTTTCTCAGCTATATCCCCTGATGGCATTGAGATATATAAATCTACCCTATAAGAAAAATGTACATGTTCGGTTTATGCAACTATTATTCTCACAAAATTGTACTGTCACTGTCTAAAGCTGGTGTATAGAAAATAATTCCAAGATCCTTTGTATGTGTTACTATAGTATATCTGTCCTATGAAATGTCTTTTTCTGATTGCTAGGATTGACTCATTGTTGATGTTAGGATTGACTTACATTACAATTTTCACATGATGAAATCTTTTAAAAACAACTATAATACAGAATACTGTAGAACACACTCAGCTCTTGTGACACGGTTAAGTGCTGCTGCCTTTTGAAGTTAAGCTTGAAGGGTTACAACGCACAAAGGTAATACTCTCACCTCCTACACAGGGAAGTGTGCCAGACAAGAAATCAACTACAAAATCTTATTATTGTGTTACTATTCCTAGTGTTATTATCTTCCATGGTTGGTTGTTTTTATTGTATTTGCTTATATTGCTGTTATGTTTCAAAATTAGTATTTTTAAAGAGTGATAGTAGGTTGGCTCCAAAACCAAATAATGTATACAATAAGAATGGATTATAATCCATGTGATTTTAGAAAGTGAGTGGAAGGATTTTTTTTGGGGGGGGGGGCATGAAAAAGTGAAAAAGTGTTGTAATCCCCTCCTCTGTAAGTTTTCAAGCTGGATGACCATCTGTTTGGGGTGCTTTGATTCTGGGTTCCTCCATGGCAGGGGGATGGATTGGATGGCTTTCTTGGATGGATTCTTCCAAATCTATGATCTCCACCCAGCAGGATACACACACACACACACACACACACATCCTCATGGTCCATCTCAGTCCTACTTCAAAAAGCTTTTCAATTTATGCAGATGGAGGAGTTGGCTCTATGGTAATCTATAAGAAGCATTTTATCTAACTGTTTAATCAGCAGCAGCAGCAATCACTCATGTCTGAGTATAGTTGCCTTCCAAGTGCAGGGTCTTGGAGGTGGGTTCATAGGTGGCTGTAGAGACCTAGACTTGACCTCCATGTTCTTCGGCAGTGAGGACATCGGGTTCCAGATGGAAGGCGGACCTGGTCAGTGTTGGTTTGACATGCCTTCCTCTCAACACATTTCTCCCTTTTGCCCTCCATCCATGCCTCTTTCAATTCCACGGCAGTGTTGGTAATGGTTGACTTCCAGTTAGAACACTTGAGGGGCAGAGCTTCCCAGTTTTTGGTGTCTATGCCACAGTTTTAAAGGTTGGCTTTAAGCCCATCTTTAAATCTCTTTTTCTGTCCTCCAACATTCTGTTTTTTATTCTTGCGTTGGGAGTATAATAACTGCTTTGGGAGATGGTGATCAGGCATTCAGACAATGTGGCCGGTCCACTGAAGTTGATGGTGAAGGATCGTCACTTCAGTGCTGGTGGACTTTGCTTCTTGTTTAATATGGGTAAACGAAATGCAAAGATACAGAATGGGGGACGCCTGGCTAGAGAGCAGTACGTGTGAAAAAGATCTTGGAGTCCTCGTGGACAACAAGTTAAACATGAGCCAACAATGTGATGTGGCAGCAAAAAACGCCAATGGGATTTTGGCCTGCATCAATAGGAGCATAGTGTCTAGATCTAGGGAAGTAATGCTACCCCTCTATTCTGCTTTGGTTAGACCACACCAGGAATATTGTGTCCAATTCTGGGCACCACAATTCAAGAGATGATTGACAAGCTGGAATGTGTCCAGAGGAGGGTGACTAAAATGATCAAGGGTCTGGAGAACAAGCCCTATGAGGAGCGGCTTAAGGAGCTGGGCATGTTTAGCCTGAAGAAGAGAAGGCTGAGAGGAGATATGATAGCCATGTATAAATATGTGAGAAGAAGCCACAGGGAGGAGGGAGCAAGCTTGTTTACTGCTTCCTTGGAGTCTAGGACGCGGAACAATGGCTTCAAACTACAAGAGAGGAGATTCCATCTGAACATGAGGAAGAACTTCCTGACTGTGAGAGCCGTTCAGCAGTGGAACTCTCTGCCCCGGAGTGTGGTGGAGGCTCCTTCTTTGGAAGCTTTTAAACAGAGGCTGGATGGCCATCTGTCAGGGGTGATTTGAATGCAATATTCCTGCTTCTTGGCAGGGGGTTGGACTGGATGGCCCATGAGGTCTCTTCCAACTCTTTGATTCTATGATTCTATGATATCAACAGTTCTCTATGCAACATTCTTTTTGCTTCCCAAAAATTGTGTAAAAAGAATAACTACACTTTAGACACACTTCCAAGCCTGTTTCAAGAGATATGGCACCAAGCCATGGTATGGGATACGTAAGAAGGTACCTTCAGCACTCTCAAAAGTGCAGCTTTGAACAACTCTTTGGAAAAGCTTATACCAGCTGAATTTTTCATAATTCTGCAATTAAGTACAATTATGCTCAAAATAATGGTGTTTTTCAAGTCCAGACCTACCACTTAGCCATGTGATACTTTCTGAAGTTTTGGGATAGATGAAAGCAGGAGCTAATATTTGAATGGTATAGCAAGACTTTTTCAAGCAAGACTAAGGGACAGTGAAGAATTGAGTCTCAGCTACAGGTTATAAAATATTGAGACAACTATTTTCAGTTTTTGGTTTTCCAAAGGTGTTCAAAATACAAGGGCATGGTGATGTTATCAGCTGTTAGTCAAATATCAACTTTTCAACTTCAAGTATGTGATACATAATTTTCAAATATTTACTTGGCATCACTTTTCCCAATGCATTTTAGAAATTGTATTTTTTTAATGCTGAGAATGCTTTCTTAGATCTCCCTTCCTACTAGTTCAGACAGAAGAAAAACAAATGTTCTCTATTTTTGTACCCATATTTTATTTAGAATTAATTCCCATTGGTTTCAATTAACCTTTCTTTCAGTGCTAATGATCAACATATAAGTTTTAATTGTGAAAAAAATATTGCCAAGCATGAAGTTTCAAGTTAAATAACCTGGAAGATATAAAGATGTTGACACAGTAACATAGTATTTTGAAAAACCTTTCATAAATATTTTTGGGGAAAAAATAAGGGGATGGAAAATCTGTCAATTTACCATTTTTATAATGTTGGCTAAACAGGGCAAACAAATTATTAAGCGATATAATAAATGCACACAATCATATGCATTTTAAAAGTAGCAAGCTCATATTAAGTTTGGTTTTTTATAATATACTCACACAGAATATGACGGTGGTTATTTATCCCACATTAATAAGGAACTTGATTGAGTAATCTAAAGGACACAATATAGGTCAGAAGTTCCCAAACTCAGGGCATTGGTGTATTTTGATTTCAGTTCCCAGAAGCCCTAGTCAGCTTGGCGAAGAATCAGGAATTCTGGGGGGATGAAGTTCCAAACACCCGGAGGACCAAAGTTTGGTAACCACTGATATAGGGCAAGCTCAATAATGTTGTTCTGAGAGGGACAAAAGCCTTCTACAGAAGCAATGAAATACTAATTCAGAATTAGTGAAGCAGCAGATACCTTGAGAAGGGTGACCAGGCCATTACTCTGTCCATTAATACTGTTTGCCTAATCCCTGATGTATGAGGCCACCATCTCACCCTGTCTAGTGGCAGGGTCACCCCATTGTCGGAATATGTCAATAGGGTGGGAATGTGTATTTTTGCTAGATGACCTGCTTTCTTAACTTTAATTCTAGCTTAACATTAATTCTAACGTGACTTCTAATACTGAATTGTCTTAAATCCTTCTTGCAGGTATTATTGACTGTGTAGCCATCCCAAGCTGGAAAATATTGTGCTGAAATGAGAAGTGGAAAATAAATAAATAAATAAATAAATACTATCATTATTATTTAGCTTCTATGTCTAGTGAGGCCACAGAAAAGTCTCTGAGGAGAGCAGGAAGGAATAACTCTGACACTCCTGCTCTTAAAGTGCTGCATTCTCTGGAGGGCTCTGTCCACATCATTTCATGATTTCCAGGGGCCATTTAGTCACTCACCACCTGGCTTTTAGCAATTGTGTTCCTGAATGAGGAGTTCTATCTCTACACACATCATCTGTTGTGTTAGGAACGTCTCTCACCCTTGTACCATGGGACTCTAGGAAAGGTCAGTAACATTTCAAAGTCAACCTCCACTGGCAGCTGTGTGATGGTCACTCTGGGAAATGTGCTGATTAGATTGAGCCTAGTAAACTATATTAATCAAAAAATCCCAAATTCAGATGGCTAGAACACCAAAAATGAATAATACAATGAATAAGTAAAACAAGTAAAAGTGAGTCTCTGTTTTACACTGGAGGTAAAGGTTTCACTTTTTGTTTTGTTTTCCTGTTCTGTAGATGGAAAGGCACATTATTGAAAGGCGAAAGATTTATACGATCTGAAGAGAAACCAGAGGCACATTATTGAAACTGGTCAGCATATCAGTGTGTTGAGAAAAGTATTTAGATTAATTCGGACATCAACTATTTTAAAAATCTATATATTGATCACACCACATCATTTTCACTCAAGATGGTCATTATGGACATGCAGGAGAGCATTTGGCAAAGTAATACATAAACAATGAAGAGATGATAGGTGGGTACAAAGCTTACCTGTGGCCGTGGGTGCCCCGTTACCAAACACTGCAAAACAAGGGTGTCACCTTCTCGAATGGTGTACACTCGTTCACTGATGTTATCTTCCTTTACAACACATGCTTGCCCAGCATGGATGATCTGAGCCTGAGCAGGTGCTGCGAAAGAAAGAAAGAAGACAGAATTAGAGGAGCTAATGTCTTTGTCTCCAGTGCTCATTTACTTTAGCTTTCATGTAATGTCTTGGGACTTCTGAGAACCAAAGTCTAATCCATTTGGAAGGCCAATGTTCCACCAACATATTGACAGTGAGACATTTGAAATGTTGAGAGACTGCTGCAGAGAGGCAGGGTTTCAATTACAAATAAACTACAAATATTCACAAACAAGACCCTTCTCACTGGTCTGCATCTGTCTTCTCTTCTTTCCACTTCCTCCCACCCTTGTCAACAAACACTTCAAATGCTTTGCATGTTAAATGATAATAAGGACTGGTAGTAATGGTGAGTAAGGAATTATGTCTTATCTTAGTGGTAAATGACAAAAAAACAGAGTTCTGAATTATTCTGACCACATGTAGAACATTTTTTTTGCATCTACAGATTTCTTGTAGCCAGTCAACGGGTGTTAACGGCAAATACCAAGTTTTGTATTTAAGAGCCAAGGAACCTAAGTTCATTCAATTTAAAACTTCAGATGTTAACCCATTACTATTTGTAAGCATCCTTTTTAAACTCATTTTTGTTTAAATCTTTTAACCTACTATTGTAGGCTAATGAAATAAACTGATGTTTGTAGTAATTCATTTGTTTAAATCTTTTGGTTAAATCATAATTCATTTGTTGCCCATCTGTGTTTCACATAGCACATGCAATATGCAATATTTGCATCAAATTTCAGGAAGTAATGAAGTTGCCCAATGAATAATATACAAAATCATTAAAACAGACCAAACATCAACCCTGGAACCTCCTGTATGGCCAAGTTATAAAATGTTTCCCTGCCCACATTCTTGTCAACAAAGAAAATTTGGGATTAATCATTTCAATGAAGCCCCTAAAAGAGTTTGATCAATTAAAGTAAGGGATGGGTAGAATGCAAAAAAGCAAGGGGGAAACAAGGACGAGTTTTTAAGGAAAATCTAATTTTCAAATTATTATTATTATTATTATTATTATTATTATTATTATTATTATTATTACTATTAGATACATAACAAGATCAGTACACAGCAAACAAGATCACTATGCTGGCTGTTGTATTTGACCACATGTCAGGCATTTCCCAAATATCTAAGACTGTGTAATGTATTGGCAAATAATGTGTGCAGATCTGAGTAGGGTGGCCTTTTGCAGCTGACAGATTGTAATTTTGTCAGTGCTGATTGTTTTTAAGTGCAGGCCAAGGTCTTTAGGCACTGCACCCAGTTTGCCGATCACCACTAGGACCACCTTTACTGGCTTGTGCCAGAGTCTTTGCAATTCTACCATAAATCCTCATATCGTGTAAGCTTTTCCAGTTGCTTCTTGTCAATCCTACTGTCACCTGGGATTGCAACATCAACAATCCATACTTTTTTTCTCTCCCACGATCATATTGTGCTCCAAAACTCTGTTGTTATTGTTGTTATTCTTATTATTGTGTTTAATTTATTATGTTTATTTATACCCCATTTCTTTCTCTCCACAAGGAGACCCAAAATGCCAACACTGCATAAGCAAGAACAAGCACATTAAAGTACTGAAAAGGGGTTAATTGCAGAACATTCTGTGTAATATACAATAGCAACCATAATGAAATCAATACAGGAAGGGAAGTGGAAGCAGCCACAGCATATGCATCTACTGACTGGAAGGCCTTTTAGGGGAGTGATTTCTATCTCCAGATAGACATGTGATCTATACATTTATCATGCAGAAATCATTAGCAACACCTTCAGGAAGCAAAACACTGAGTGTATAACCATACACCCTGATTTCTGTGATTTGACAAACAAAATTAGGTTGGTATTGCATTTTAAGAAATAGTTAACTAGTTCTAATTCATGGAAATGCATGAATAACCATTCTCTGTGTAACACCTTGGCAAAGCAATTGTTACACAGAAGACTCCCATTACTCCTCCTGTTTCTCTTTCCAGCTGACTGATGATTTATTGGTAGGATTATTCCACAAGTACTATCCAAACAATTGTGGATTAATAGATTCACTCTGTTTACTAGAATGCCTTTACAGCAAATACACCGGAGCTCATCGAGTCCCCCTCAGTTCCTTGCATTCAACATCTGCAAAGACCTCCTGCTATTCTGCTCACAAGAAGCTCCGTTGTCATTAAAAAACAAACATGCCCAAGACAAAGTGCAAAGCTCTGTAGATACAGCTGAGCAGATGGGAGGCCTGCCCTTCCCAAGAGGACAGGGGATTAATGTTTACTAAGTATGCCTGTATTGGGAGGATGAAACATTTATATAAACTTAGAAATAGAGATTTAGAGCTTGTGAGAATAAACCACAAGACATAAAACACATACAAGCACAGAAGCACTAGGCTGCTGTTGTTGAATAGCTCCATAATTTCCCTGCCAAGATATCCTACCTCTTTCATTCTCTTTCTTGGTTAACTAATTAAAAGGCAACTTTTGTGCCAATATCTAACAAATTTCATATCATACATTCCCCACTGCTTCCTTGCTTTGATTTTATGGGCAAATTTGTAGAGGACCAGTCATGGGCAGTCACTTAGCTTATGAATCTGGCATTCTTAGTCATAAAAAAGAATTCTGATTCATAAAAATGTCAGATTCATTATAAATTTTGTTTTGGTGCCTCCATGAGGCCTGTTAGACAAGCATTCATATACAAAGGTAAGATCCCTCAGAGATTTAAAGTGACCAACACAAAAGAGCTATGCAAATAGAAATGCTCCTAATGTTTTTGTTTGGATAAAGTGTGACCTAATTTTATTGCTTTGGGCCATCTTGATAAAGTGTGACCAAATGTTATTGCTTTGGGCCATGAATTGTATGATCTACCACCACAAAACACAGTATTTTGCCTATACCACTATAATAAAGAAAAGTAAACTAAAATATGTTTTAAGCTGCCTTGGATCACAAGGTTGAGGCAGGTTCCTTTTTCTCAGAAGACACCACAAGGGTAATCCAGTCCAACTGCCATGCAGGAATACACAATTAAAACATTCCTGACTTTCGAGAAGTCAGCCATAGCAGAGCACCTGATGAACTAACCTGGACACAGCATATTATTTGAGAACACAGAAATGCTGGACCACTCAAACAACCACCATGTCAGACTACAGAGAGAAGCCATTGAAATGCCCAAGCATGTGGACTATTTCAACAGAAAGGAGGAAACAATGAAAATGAACAAAACAAAGAGCAACACTAAAAAACAGGGGAATTCCAGACAAAAATCAATCACGGCCAGTTAACACCTCCCAACAAAGGATCCCCCTGCAGCAATCAGGCAGACTTTGAAGCTACAAGGCCATTCATTGCTAATCAAGATAGCCAATTGCAACTTTCATACTTGCCTCCAGCAAACAAGAGTTCTTTCTCCCACCCTGGACATTCCGCAGATATATAAACCTCACTTGCCTAGTTTCCAACAGACCTTACAACCTCTGAGGATGCCTGCCATAGTTGGGGGTGAAACGTCAGGAGAGAATGCTTTTGGAACATAGCCATACATAGCCTTTGTTCAAAAACCTCCAGAGAAAGAGACTCTACCACTTTCTGAGGTGGTATGTCCCTGAGAAACAGCTCTTAACATCAAGAAGTTCTTCCTGATGTTTAGATGGAATCTCTTTTACTACAATGTGAATCCATTGCTAGTGTCCTAAATTCTAGAGCAGGAGCTCTTAATAATAATAATAATAATAATAATAATAATAATAATAATCTTTATTTATACCCCACCACCATCTCCCCAGAGGGGACTCGGAGCAGCTTACATGAGGCCGAGCCCAAACAACAAATTACTATAAAAATAAAACCAAAACACAACCAAAAACGCAAACAGTAAACAGCAACATCATAATAAAATAAAACATGTAAGTACATAACAATATAAAGTTACAATAGATGCAATCACAATGACAATGGGCGGGCTGCATTTAATGATTAAAAGAGAGACTAATTAAAACTAATTTAAAACTCGGGCGAGATAAAAAGAGACAGATTATTTGTGGAGGAGAGCTCATTATAGCGGGGGTTGAGGAATCAAGCTTTCTCATAGAGGGGGGACAACATATACTCCAATGACCGAACGTTGAGGCTAAGCAGTAGTGTGGGATTGTATACCTACTCTCCAAAGGTGCAGCGGAAGAGCCAGGTTTTAAGATCCTTTTTAAACGTTTCTAGGGTAGGGGCTTTCCTAATTTCTCCAGGCAGTGAGTTCCAAAGTTGGGGAGCCACAGAGGAGAAAGCTCTCTCCCTTGTGCTTACCAGGCGAGCTTGTGAAGCTGGCAGGGGTGAAAGAAGGGCTTCCCCAGATGAACGGAGGGCCCGAGATGGTAAATGGAGGGAGATACGGTCATGAAGGTAAACTGGTCCCAAACTGTTTAGGGGTTTGTAGGTGATAACCTGCACCTTGAATTGGGACCGGAAAATAAACGGCAGCCAATGGAGCTCCTTAAACAGGGGGGTTGACCGCTCCCTGTAAGTTGCCCCAGTTATTAATCTGGCTGCCGAGTGTTGGACAAGTTGTAGTTTCCTGGCCATCTTCAAGGGTAGCCCCACGTAGAGAGCATTACAATAATCCAGTCTAGAGGTAACTAAGGCATGGACCACCATGGTCAATTCAGACTTCACGAGGTAAGGTCGCAGTTGGCGCACAAGTTTTAATTGCGTGAAGGCCCTCCTGGCCACAGCCGACACCTGCGCATCAAGTGTCAGCGCTGAGTCCAGGAGGACTCCCAAACTGCGTACCTGTGATTTCAGGGGGAGTGCAACCCCATCCAGCACAGGTTGCCACCCAATACTCCGGTCAGCCGAGCGACTGACCTGGAGGACCTCTGTCTTGTCAGGATTGATCCTCAGCTTGTTCTTCCTCATCCAGGTCGTCACAGCAGCCAGGCACTGGTCCAGTATCCTCGGGGCTTCCTTGGAGTCAGGTGGAAAAGAGTAGTGGAGTTGGGTG